CAATTCCAACTACCAAAGTGAATATGAATGGATTGCCAGGTTCCTCTATCCAATTCTTTCCCCTCTTTCTCGTCATCTCTAACTTTATTCTTTATTTCCAAGAAGGGGATTCATGGAGGGGGATTCTACAGTCTCCCCCGGAATATCTGAAATAAAGTAAGGGAATTCAAATTATTTAAATGCTTCCTTATTTTTGCTTTAAAAAATTGTCTGTTATACATCATTTGAAAATGTTTAATATGCTGAATTAAAGATATAAGCTGATTTTTTTGGTTTGGTTTTGTTTCTAAAGCCTACCTTGGCTCTTTGTTGAGGTGTTGAAATGCCAGTTGTCATTTCGGTATTTTATGTATAAAGTTATTTATCAATTCCAGGAGAATGAGTTTGAAATTAGACCTAGATTTGCATCTAACTACTCTGCATTCTCACTGTGTGTCTCTGGGTAAATTGCTTATGCTGTCTGTACCTTTGATATTTCACCATTCCTATACAACTGTGTCTATTGATTTAACAGGCCTCTGGAAACTGTCATGGAAACTTCTCTACTATCTTGGAAACTGTCCTACTGATTGCTGTGTCATGGAAACTGTCCTACTATGTACTGTCCTAATATGTACTGTGAACTGTCCTACTGTGTACTGTCCTACTGTGTACTGTGAACAGTCCTACTGTGTACTGTGAACTGTCCTACTATGTACTGTCCTACTGTGTGTGTACTGTGAACTGTCATACTGTGTACTGTCCTACTGTGAACTGTCCTACTGTGTACTGTCCTACTATGTACTGTCCTACTGTGTACTGTGAACTGTCATGCTGTGTACTGTTCTACTGTGAACTGTCCTACTGTGTAGTGTCCTACTGTGTACTGTGAACTGTCATACTGTGTACTGTCCTACTGTGTACTGTGAACTGTTCTACTGTGTACTGTCCTACTGTGTACTGTGAACTGTTCTACTGTGTACTGTCCTACTGTGTACTGTCCTACTGTGTACTGTGAACTGTCCTGCTATGTACTGTCCTACTGTGTGCTGTGAACTGCCCTACTGTGGACTCTGAACTGTTCTACTGTGTACTGTCCTACTGTGTACTGCCCTACTGTGTACTGTGAACTGCCCTACTGTGAACTGTCCTACTGTGTACTGTGAACTGTTCTGTGTACTGTTGTACTGTGTACTGTGTACTGTGAACTGTCCTACTGTGTACTGTCCTACTGTGTACTGTGAACTGTCCTATGTGAACTGTCCTACTGTGTACTGTGAACTGTTCTACTGTGTACTGTCATACTGTGTACTGTGTACTGTGAACTGCCTTACTGTGAACTGTCCTACTGTGTACTCTGAACTGTCCTAAACCGTTCTACTGTGTACTGTCCTACTGTCCTACCAATGTCATGGAAACTGTCCTATTGGTTGCTGTGCTGCTCTGATGGCTGGATGATTGGCATTAACTGAAATCATCATGGCCTGAAAGGCCATTGAGACTTTAGGGATATTTACTGCTACGCCGCATGTCCCTAACCCCTATGCAGTTCTTGTTTATGTGTTTTCTTCCTGTTTTCCTGACCATCTCTGCTTTCTCCTGCCACTGCTAAACCAGAACTCTCAGACATGTTAATAGTATTAAACCTTTAATACAACTGACTACAGCACCTGTAAGAGTGATGGGCTGAATTAACGGCATTTGCAGTGCCTTAGATAAGACTGGAGACTATTACTCTAAGTGATGTAACTCAGGAATGGAAAACCAAACATCATATGTTCTCACTGACATGTGAGAGGTAAGTTACAAGGACCCAAAGCCATAAGAATGATACAGTGGACTTTGGGGACTTCTGGGGGAAAGTGGGAGGGGGTTGAGGGATAAAAGACTACAAATATGGTGCAGTGTGTACTGCTTGGGTGATAGGCACACCAAATCTCACAAATCACCACTAAAGAGCTTACTCATGTAACCAAATACCACATGTACCCCAATAACTTAGGGAAAAATAATTTTAAAAAAGAGTGATGGGCAACAGTGAACTGGCTACTAATATCTTCTTCCTATTCCTCTCTCTCCCCAGCATCTAATATGAAGTACTATCCTTTCACTCACAGTTAATCTCTATAAGCAGCTAGTCAACTTATTTTACTGCTCATATACCCTTCCTATCCTTCGCAGTTTTAAAACAATTGTACGATGTCTACCTTGTCAGAATATACTGTCACACTGTCTCCGCCATCATTTAGAATTAGATCTACAGGTAAATAGATCCTGAATGCGCACCACCCATCGTTTTACCAATATCTTTACAGTAATACTGCTTGTCTAAATTGTGTTCACTACTAGAGTCCCTGAGAAGAAATATTCTCTGGATGTTGGGGATTTGTTTATTTTGTTTGTGCCTGCAGTCTTTACACTTCAAAGTCAATTAGGCTGTGTATAAAATCCTTGGCCCACATTTTCTTTACTTGATTACCTTAAATATCATTGTCTTCTGACAAGGTGTTGCTGTTGAAAAGTTTGATAATCAAATTTTCCTTATAAGTGATTTAATATTTATTTTATTTACTTAGAGGCCCAAGAAAATTTTTTTTTTTTTTCAAAAAGTCCAATAGCTTAACTATTTTGTATTGGTTATAGTGGATCAATTCTCCCAAGTGCATGGTGGACTGTTTAAATACATATACTTTCTGTTTAAGGTTTTCCTTTGAGAATATGTATTTAAATGCATATTTAAAGCAATGTATTTTTAGTATTCCATCCCCCTACTTTTTTTTCCTCAAAGATTCCTATTATATGTATATTGGATTTTTTTTTTTTTTAAGATAGGGTCTTGCTCTGTCACCCAGGCTGGAGCATAGGTCTCCACAACCTCAAACTCCTAGACTCAAGCAGTCCTCCTGCCTCAGTCTCCCGAGTACCTAGAACTACAGACATGCATCACTGAACCTGGCTAATTTTTACATTTTTTTTTGTAGAGACAGGGTCTCACTTTGTTGCCTAAGCTGGTCTCGAACTCCTGGACTCATGTGATCCTTCCACCTTGGCATCCCAAAGTGCTGGGATTACGGGTGTGAGCCACGCACCCGGTCTATATTACATCTCCTTTACCTTTCTTCTATATCTGTATTTTCTCTCACACCTCTTTCTTCATTTCCTTTGATTTTAAAAATTTTGTTTCCTAGCTTCTTTTCTTAAAGCATTATCTTTTATATTTATTTACTCTTGTGTTGCTTCTAGCATAGTTTTTATTTCTAATCCATTTTAATCTTTTATTTCTAAATTCCTTGAATTCCATCTCATCTTTTTCAAGTCATTCTATTTTCTACACATCTCAAGTTGACTTTTTCAAATTGAGATTTATGTTGATCTTCATAACGTCCATTATTTCCTTAATTTCATTTAGCTTATTTTGAAATATTAGGCTACAGTTTTCACCTGTTTTGTGGGCCTGTCTTTTTGAAACGCATTCATTATTCATAGGGAAGTCAGTCTGATCTTAATCTCTTTTTTCATAAAACATTGTATGGGATTCAACTGCTTTTTCTTTTCTGTTGGTCATTTTCAAGTGAAATGAGTGAGCCAGGATTTCTTCTAGTTTCGTGGCTCCCAGGGTCCCCATCTGGTGTGTTCACAAAGTGATACAAATATAGTCAGATTTTCTGAGATCTGCCTACTCTGTATCCCTTCCCATCTTCCTCTTCATTTTCATTTTGACCTCTTTCCTTCTCACCTTTTTTTTTTCCAACTCAGCTTGGACTTTACTCCGAGAATTTTTTTTTTTTTTTTTTTTTTCCAGAGCAGGATTTTGTCTTAGAAGGGAACTTTAGTTTCTGACTTCCCAGAGTTCATAGAGCCCAAAACATTTCAATGCTCAGTCCTCTTACACTCACTGGCAAATTAGAATCCACTAGATCTGCACCCTCCCACCCAAGTCTCACATGCTGTCCTGAGACAGCCCACTTCACTTTCCCGTGAGTACTTTGGACAACTTTGTAGGTGTCCTGTTCTTTGGCTATCAAGTGGCCCCATTACTTTCCCTCACAAACGCTGATATCACACAGGGTTTGAAATTGTTGATGCCTGGTCCCATTCATATTTGGGATTTGTGAGGATTTCCTGTCACCTAATCATAGGGTTTTAAGTTCTTCTGTTCAAATTTTTCAACTCTCTTGGGGTGGGATTCAGGGAGATTCAAAGTACATGTTTACTGAGTGCATATGTACTAATGAACTTATTTTATAAGTGCTATTTCCATTCCAAAAAGTCCTAGATGAGGTCCCATTTAACCCATAAAATAATAACGGATGCACTGATATGCTCTGGGACAGGGTCTACGCCCAGTAAAGAATATTAATCTGTTCTTTGAGCTATCTCATTGGATCAAACCTACAGCACAATGTGTTATAGACTAAAAAGTTTGTGTGCCCCCAAAATTCATATGTTGGACTCCCAATTCCCAATGTGATGGTATTTGGAGGTGAAATTTGGAGGAGTTAATGGGGTTTAGACGAGGTCATGAGGGTACAGTCTTTATGATAGAATTTGTGTCCTTAGCAAAAGAGACACCAGAGAGCTTGTGCGCATGCTCACTCTCTATGCCATGTGAGGACACAGTGAGAAGGCAGCTGTCTGCAAGCTAGGAAGCGAGCCCTCACTAAGATCCAAATTAGCTGACACGTTGACCTTGGACTTTCCAGCCTCTAGAACTTTGAGGAATACATTTCAGTTGTTTAAGCCACCCAGTCTACGGTTTTTTGTTATAGCAGCCTGAGCTAAGAAACAGTCAGTCGTTAACTTAGTGATAAAAATGATAAACTGAAAAAAAAATACAGTTGACTGAAGACTTCCTAGATATCTAACAGGAACTGAGAATAAAAGATTACCACTCCCACTGTGATGAGTAAAGTGACTATTTTGACACCACTAGACAAGTGAAGGTGACAAGGAAGAAATGTCATTAAAAGTAATATGCAATAACAAAGATACCTTTATAAAAAACTGTCATCTTTACTCACTTTGTCACAGAAGACCTTGATCTGGCAATAAGCTCTATGAATGGGTTTATTGCTACGATTGTTATAACTGTATGTGTCAATCTGAATCATCAAAGGAAGTCCTTTCACCCCTTTCTGGGAGGAGAAATCTGTACTCAAGCAATTCACGGTGATGAAAATCTGAGGGAAACAGAAAGAAAAAGTTCACAAATCACCATAAAAAGAATGTACAATAAATGCATAAACTTTAGACTTTAAGTCAAAATACTAAACAACCCCATAAGGACAACTGAAGAATATTTTGATAATCTTTTCACATAAAAACATGCTGAGCATAAAACATATAATTTATAATTATACATTTTTAAAATCTGCTTTCATATTTCATCTTGAAACAGACCATTTAAATTGCTTTCCTGGAAGTATATCAGCAAAGTCTTACTTATTTTTTAAACATGCATAAGTGGCCTGGGTAAAACACTGTTTCCTCAACACATCAAAGTTGCCAATTCTAATAGTTATATCAGTTATTCTAATTTCTGACCTGTGGAATAAAAAAAAAAATCAGATAACACCTTCCTTTGCAAATTACTGCATTGAAACCTAGTTATTTGTTTACATATCTGTCTTTCTTCCTTGATTATGAAGCATGCAATTTGAGACCACTTATTATTTTTGTATTACTGGTACCTAGTGCCTGGAGGAAAATAAGCACTCAATAAACATTAGATGAGTGAATCACTGAGCTTATCTGCGGAAAGCCTACTAGATTGGGAGTCAAATGCCTCAGGTTTTAGCCCCAGCTGTAGCACTAAGCAGCTAAGAAACCTTACACAAGTCAGTGTCTTCAGATTTCAATTTTCCCTTTAGGATCCCCCTGCAGGACAAAATGTAGATACATATATACTTTCATGTTAGTGAAAAAGTCAAAGATTGTTAAATGTAAGATCTGAAACAGGAGAGAGAAAATATAGTGAATATAGTGAAGGTATCCTCACCTTACAGCACAAGGCATCAAGAGATGTAAGAGAAATCACACGAATTCAAAAAAATGGAAACTCCAGGAAATTAATAAGATTATAATGCTGACCAACAAAAGAACTAAAAATAATTATTTTATTTTATTATAAAATTTGGTAAGAAAAGAGGGAGGAGTGTAAATGAGCTAAAATTCTCCTCATTTTACATAGTGGATGGCAGACCATTGATAGCATTTAAGAGTGATTTATCACAGAATGGAGGTATCAGTGTAGCACCCAGGTTTACGTGGTAACTACACTGATGATTAAGAGGTGGTTTCTGGGGAGATCCAGGTACACTGTATTATACTCTTGGTACTATTTTCATTTGATGCCACATGTATTCTTTTTATTTAAAATAAAATGTTAAATTATTTATTGCTTTAAAATTGTACAATTATGTGTTCTGAAAACTATTTCATTCGATGTACTATTTAATGCTTGTCTTATTTGATTCCCTGGGTTTTCCATTCACCTTTAAGCCTTGGACCTGAAGTCCGTCACACCACAGCGACACTATGGAGAGCAGCCCTCAAGGAAGGAAAACCATGAGAAACGGACTGCATGTGAAAGGCTTTTCAGCCGGGCATGGTGGCTCTTGCCTGTGACCCCAGCACTTTGGAAGGCTGAGGCAGAGGGATCACCTGAGCTCAGGAGTTTGAGATCAGCCTGGGCAACATAGTGAGATCCCATCTCTACAAAAACTTTAAAAACCAGCCGAGTGTGGTGGTGCATCCCTGTAGTCCCAGCTACGTGGGAGGCTGAGATGGGAGGATTGCCTGAGCCCGGGAGTTTGAAGCTGCAGTGAGCTGAGATCGCGCCACTACCCTGCCAGCCTGGGTGACAGAGCAAGATCCTATCTCAAAATAAATAAATAAAATAAAAGCCTTTTGAAATTTTGATTTAACTACTAGGCCCGATCTAGTTCATTTCAAACCCAAAGCCTGTAGGCTTTTGGCAATCCAGGCATCTCATTTTTAGTGCTACATCTCTATAAACTTCATTTTTATTTTATTTTTGAGCTCCTCATTCGGCACTGAGGAATGTCTTAGTGGGGTACCACATCCACACCAGTCAGGCCAGATGACAGGGCTTAGTGACAGGTTGATGACAGCAACCCTATGCCCTGACCCCTGGGCTCTCACACTTCCAGCCACTCTCTGAAAACAAGTGCCCAACAACGATCTAATTATGCCAACAAATCTAGCAAACTAAGGTGCAACATGAGGACCATCAGTAATAAAAGTGTACTGTAGATGGAGGTCGGGGGAAAAAGAAAAAATATATATACTGTATATGGAATCCATGCTAAATGAGTAGATTTTAGCTGCTCTTGCCAAAAACAAAAAGAAATGGGTAACTGTGTGAGACGGTGGATATGAGATGATGGATAAAGTATCTACATATATTCCATAACATCATGCTGTGTATCTTAAATATACACCATGAAAAGTTGCTTTAAAAAAAGATGATCTAACTACCAATATATTCATTTCCTTCATTTATTTCTTTAATTCATGTATTCATTCAGTCTGTAAACATCCACACAAGCCCACAATGGGTCAAACACAACATTAGATACGGGGGATAGAAAAGAAACCCAAAACCCTGCTTCACGGAGCTGACAGTACAAGAGGGAGACAGACGAGTGATCCAGCGGTGACCAACACAGAGTCATCCTCTGTGTTGTGTGTACAGAGAGGCAGGTGTGTACAGAAGCCCCGGGAAGACAAAACAGAGCCCTGGGCTTGAAGAACACTAGTGAAATACAAACCCACACATTCACTGGGCTTAGAGCAGGGGCCTGACAAGGACTGAGGAACAGTAAAGAAAAAGAGAATGACTAAAGATGCAAATGTCAGGTGATTCACAGGAACTGAGTGATGAAGACTACTAAGAAAGAACACACAGGCTGGGTGCGATGGCTCACACCTGTAATCCCAGCACTTTGAGAGGCCGAGGTGAGTGGCTCACTGGACATCAGGAGTTCGAGACCAGCCCAGCCAACATGGTGAAACCCCATCTCTACTAAAAATACAAAAATTAGCTGGGTGTGGTGGCGGGACCCTGTAATCCCAGCTACTCGGGAGGCTGAGGCAGGAGAATCTCTTGAACCTGGGAGGTGGAGGTTTGCAGTGAGCAGAGATTGTGCCATTGCATTCCAGCCTG